ACCATTACCAGTGAAGCACCAAACAGCTATTGTGAAGGAGCCAGCGGAGCGGCTCGAACCAGCTCCGATACCAAATTGTAAGGAAAATGAGAGAGAGCAAAATGAGAAACTAGGCAAACTGAAGAAACGCAGCAAAGACAAAACCCAGCAGACCCAAAAAAAAAGGCACCAAAGCAAAACTAAGACCCCAAAAAATAAAACTGATGATAGATTGTTTCGTCGGAGGTGCACCGACTGGTCATCAGGAGGCTGAGCCCTCGACAATCTTCGGAATCTCCATATTGATGGTTCAGGTCATGAACCCTTTTGACCCTTGTTGAAGGCAGACGGTTCACAAGCGGAACACAGCATCAGGCAACAACTCAGTGAAGCACGGCAACAACATTGCCGGAGCAACCCAACTGCACAACGCGAAAAACAACTGCAACACAAGACGGGCCAAGCGGGCAAGCAGCACAGCAACAGCGCAACAAATCACAAGGGGACACCAACACAGCAGCCACACTACACAGCACACAAGCAAGGAACACGGTACACAGCACACAAGCAAGGAACACGGAAGGCAAGGCACGCGGATGGGCAGCAGTGCAGCTAAGCACAGGGAAACAGAAACACCACAGCTACACCACACAGTAAAGACAGCAGCTCGCAAAGGACCACACGCGACGCCAGCAGGATGAGCAGGACGGCAGCAGCGGATCGCGGACAAGGCAGTCCACACATCCAGCACGGAGCAAACAAGCGGCACATCCCCTACTCACATCACGAGTGAACCCCGCATACTGTTCGCTCCCACCACCTGCTGAGCCGGGGAGGTACTCCGATGGACGTCTATTATTAACCATAGACCATATGCACCCCCGCCATCGCAGACAGAGCGCCCCCCCTGACAGTCCTGCACCCACTCCGAATCGCCGACTGGCAGTCTGGCACGAGTTTATGTGCTAGCACTGGATGTTTATGCGGTGCACATCTTGCACACATTTTAGAAGAACAAAAGAAGAAGAAAGAAAAAATAGTCATAAGGTCACCCCTTTTAGTAAATGCATATGGGTGGACGGTCGTAACGACGTAAGGTCACCTTATAGTAAATGCCATGGTACCTGCCACTGCTATCATCGTAAGGTCACCTTATAGCTCCATGGTAGCGGCCACAGTACTATGATTAGTTGCTCCAAAGAGAGTATCAGCTAAAAAGAAAGTCCGGTGAATGGTCGCAAGGTCACCTATCGTAAATGCGTATGGGCCAATAGTAATAAGGTCGCCTATAGACTACTGTTACTGAATTTGCATGACGCGCTAAATGGCTGTTAGTGAATGCGGGTGAGCGCTAACTTGTCTGTCAGGGTAATGGATGGATGCAGAAATGGGCTTCATTTTGCTCATGGAGCGGCTGATAGCGAGTCTGCGTTGATGGAAAAAATGAAAAAAATGAAAAAAATGAAAAAAAAACTAGGCTACCAGCCGGGTCGCCCGGGTCAGCTTGTTTGACCCGGGCGGCCCGATCATGCAAGGACCTGGGAAGGTCCCATCAATGAAAGGAACAAAGAAATTCAAAAAAATCCAAAAAAACTATGTTATGCTAGGCTACCAGCCGGGCCGCCCGGGTTACCCTGTTTTCCCGGGTGGCCCGGCCGTGCAAAGACCAGGGA